ACTATTTTTGTAGGGTGGCACATCTGTAAAATAGTCCTTCTCCTCGTGTTCCGACCGTGACTTGATACGCCAGGATTACGTTCTAAGTTTGGCCAAAATGGGCTCAGATCTTTTTCTTCTTTCGCAAAGGACCTGTGCGTGAGGTGCCAGCCCAGGATTTATTTACAGAACTGACATCGCTTTTATACCTAAAGGTTTGCCGATATGAGCCAACAGTGGAAGAGCTCAAGTGTTTGCTGACACAGTTGGGTGAAAGGCTGAACTGTGCGGCTCCGGGTTTGTGTTACTGGAGGAAGCAGCCAAGTTCAGCCACGTGGGTTTAGCCTTTTGTGTTTCGGTGTGTGGGGTTTTTTTGGTGTTTTCCTTTTTTAAAAATTTATATATGTACTCTGTACACTTTTGTGAAAAACAAGAGGACTAAACCAGAGAAAATTAGTCTTGTAACTAGAAACTACATTTAGAGGAGGCTTGGGGTTGTTTGATTATTTTTTAGGAGTTTTGATTAGTTGCTTTGTTTTGGTTTGGTTTTTTATTACTTCACTAATGTGTCTTGTGGAAGGAATTTATATTCATGTTCTGCATTTCTCTGGTGCCCTGTATTTTTCCTGAGGGCAGTTCTACTGCCTAGGTGCCATCACCAAAGAATGGTAATATTAGCAACTTACCTGAGAGAAAGGTATTACTTTTTCTCTTTGTTTGCTTCTTAGCATTGTGTGCTTTCATGGAATTTCAGAAACCTTCATCTTAATGACTGCTAATCCTTGATAAATAGAATTTGTGTGCATGTCTTTTGTTAAAATATTGTCTTTTATAAATTCAGGTGTTGGACTACCATGGTTGTAAAATAAGCGACCCATACTGTTGGCTTGAAGATCCTGATAGTGAACAGACAAAGGTAACTTTTCTTTATATGGGGATGGCTGTTTTGACATGGTTCTCTTTTATAGACTGGGTGCACGCATACTTTGTTTCTGAAGGACCTGCCAATAGTTTTTGAAAAGTTACGCCTGGAATGTAGGTGTAGCTTGTGTGGTATCTTATGATGCCAACAGCAATGCTATTATTTTGTACCTTTGTGTTAATAGGGGAAAGAATGGAACACTTGGTGTGTTAGATTACAGAATTTGGAAAACTAAGGCCTTATTTATCTGGAACCCATTTTTCTTGGGCAATTTGGATGCTTGAGGTGGTGGCGCCACATTGAAGAGAAACACTCTAATTTTAGAATGCTTTATCCACTGTCCTAAGCACATCCAATATTGCTGTAATAAAATGGTTAGGAAGGGGTAGAAGGAAAACTCCTTTAGTTTCATTTCTTTGGGCGGTCACAATGTGTATAAATACATTTGAAAAGGGATAAAAAAAAATTAAAAACTAACCAAAAACATTTTCTTCCTGAATTTAGGCTTTGTTAGTGGCTTTATTACAGATTGTAGATGTTGTTGTGTTTTCAGCCTGCATTCTTATATAGCTAGACTGTACTGCTGGAACTGGTCTTTCACTGAGAGAGAATCTTGAAAAATAATGTGTATGACTGTGAGCCAATTCCTCTGATGTTCATAGCATAGGGAGTTGCAGGGGTGATGGCCAGAAAGTGGTAGGTAGTAGTGTGGGGAGCATTTCATTTGCTAATAACTTCCTTATAACTAGTTCCAGATCTAAACCACTGGTGTCTAGTGTGTGTGATTGTGTCAGAAAGATGATGGAGGGCAGAATCTTAGTTAAAAATTATCCTGCGGAGTAGCTTTCTGTTAGTGAGATTCCTTCCAGGTTCTCTTGTGTGTGCTCACATAATACATCTTGAGGAAATAGAGGTTGGTCAAATAGAACTTACTGTAGCTGTCAAGAGCAAGATAAAATGTGTACAGTTAGTACCTCATTCCTTAAAAATCTGTCAGCATATATAAGGACTCACGTGGATTAAAAAGGTTAATTTGTTATCAGGTTTTAGGCAAAAACTCTGCCATGGATGTTAATGTTAAAAATTAGATGTCTTGTAAGTCAGGAGTGTTTTGATCTTTTGATTAGGGGGCCGGTTAGCTCAGTGGTTTGAGCGCAGTGCTGACAAAAGTGACAACACCGAGGTCGCGGGTTCGATTCCCGCTTGGTCCCCATGTGTTGCCTGGTCTAGTCGAGAGGTGGCGTCCCTGCCCATGACACGGAGGTTGGACTAGATGATCTCTAAGGTCCCTTCCAGCCTAGGCCATTCTATGATTCTATGATTGTGGCATTCTTAAGAAATAGTACAGATTGGATAGTTTTCTGCCAAATTCAGAGGAGTGTATGCCTGGAAAGATACAGTTATGTCTTTCTTTTATAGAGGTCTTACAGATATGTATTAAGATGGATTTTGGAATGCTGTGGAAGAGTTGAGATTGAGAAGATGCCAAGACCTGACTTTTTGTGTCCCTGTGTTCAATACTCTTGCTGCCTACTGTGAACAGGTTGGGTCAGAACAGTTGGAGGAAGGTGAATCTCGTTTTCCAGAGGTTGTAGTTTGTATAGGAGGCAAAATAAGGAATGAGGGTTTATAACATCCTCACAAAAATGCAGCAGCCCAGACACAAAATGTTATATTGATGGAATGAAAATATTGCTAAATCTTCCTTGCCTGTGCTCTGAAAGACACGTGCCTTGGCAGAGTTTTGCAGTGCAGTAGTAGTGTGATGCAAAGAGTGGAGAGAGCTCCTGTATGTGTAGGTATATGAGTATGTCATCTTTTTCCAAAGTTCCGGGAGCTAGAGAACAACGGGAATTAAAGTGTTTAGCTGCTCTACCTCTTTCATAGATAGAGAACAACGGGAATTAAAGTGTTTAGCTGTTCTACCTCTTTCAGAGGTCAGAAAAAATAATCTTGAAGTACTAAACTCTCTTAGTCTGCTTAATCACTCACTTTGTGCTCTACAGCAGAGGTTGCTGACAG